CTGCCAGCCCGGTCTCCCCAGAGCTGGTATCACCTGCTAAGTGGCCAAAGCAACATCAGAGAAAACAGCAAGCAGTAAGAGATGCCCAGGACCAGCCAGCAGGGGCAGAGGATGCTGCAAGCACCACCAGCCAAGCTAGAGCTGGGGACCAGGGGAACAGGCTACACAAGTAGTAATTGAGTCCCTCTGGGAGAGGAGCTGCAAGGGGCTAGAGCATGGAGAGACAAATTGGCTGTGGGACTTACTCCAAGGCCACATGAAAATCTTTGCTACCATGGATAAGGACTGCACACCGATCGACCTCATCCAACACCAGAGAGATATCAGTGAGGCTGCCCCCATCCAGCTGTGCCCCCATCCAGCTGTGCCCCCTTCACCTGCCACGCAGCTGAGGAGAAGGTCCATCAGATGGCAGCAGCAGGGATCATAGGGTCATCTGCAAGTCCATGGGCTGCCTCTGCTGTCCTGGTCCAGAAGAAGGATGGTAGCTGGTGGTTCTGCATGTGCTATCACCGACTGAATGTCATCACTGGGACTGACACATACCCATTGCCTTGAATCAATGATGCCCTCGATACACTGACACGCTTCAGCTGGTTTAGCTTGTTGGACCTCTGCAGCAAGTGCTACCAGGTAGCCCTGGCAGCCATTGTAAAAAAAGAGAAGACTGCGTTCACCCTGGGCCAGGGGCTGTGGCACTTCACTCTGATGCCTTTCGGGCTACACAATGCTCCAGCCACCTTTGAGCATCACATGGAACAAGTGCTGGTAGGAATCCCCCAGAGTCGGGTTCAGGGTTCATGTCAACCATGCTCCTCCTAGGATGGGGATTGAGGACGCCCGTGGAGTTGGCTTTTGGCAGCACCTCAGATCAAGACCCGGCAGGGCAGACGGCACCGTTGTATGTTCTGGAGCTCTGACAGCACACGGAAACAGTAACCAGCTCACCAGAAACCACCAGGAGCAGGCTAGGGGCCACCAGAAGAGGGCATACGATGGCCACAGCTGCAATGAACCACTGCTGCCAGGGCTGCACAATTCCACTAAATTCCACCGTAATCCTTCTGCCACATTTAGCAGTGCGTCGAGTGTGGAGGTGTTCAGCTGACGGCGGGAAAGAGACATCAGTCTCTGCATGTAAAGAAAAATCAATTAATCAATAAATAACTAAACATGTTTATTGACTGGCACAAATTAAGACTTAAATGAGATTCCTTAGTGAGCTTAGAAAATAAACTGGTTACTCAGAAGAATTTATCTGATGTAATGTTAGCAAATAAAACGTTTAAATTGGATGTTATAAATTCTCTCTCTCTCATACGCATATGTGGGTGCATGTTTCGGTTCACCAAAATGATGAGGTAATGGGGAAAACAGGGAGGATACACAAACACCGCAGTCCAATAAAGAAAATTGTACTGTTTTAACAATGACATACCTGCAGGTGGCGCTACTGCAATTAACAATCTGACAATCAGTTGCCACATGGTACTAATTATTTTTTGTATGGATGATTATTGATTCTTTGAGTCCCGAAGGTCTCCTGCATAAAATGCCTCACAGGAGGGAGGTTTCAGTACTCATGCACCATGTAGATATCTTAAAAGATACAGCGACTTGGCAGATGGTACTGTGGGTGTGTGCATGGGCAGAGCACCTGTGGATGTGCTTTGCTTCTGTAGGCCATTCTGTGAAATATGGAGACAGCAAGTGCTTCTGGATTGCCCTTGAAGTCACCCATCCTCAATATCACAACCCCAGCTTTTTACAAGTGAGAACACATCATGAAATATTGGTATTACCCATAAGGCTTAGTTTTCACCGTTGTTTTTTCCCCCTGTTTTATGTTTGTATTGTGTATAATAAATTCAGAAATGCACTAGATGTCAGTAGACAATGTTTATGTTCAAATGATATAACTATTTTTGTCTGGCATCCACAGGGCGTCCTCTGCTTTATGCCTCGTGTTTCTTGGGATAGCTGTAGGCTGACTGCTTCCTCGTACCTGAGGGATGCAGGTGTAAAAATCGCTGATAGAGATAAAACAACAAAATGTACAGTATGCTGCCTAAGCAGAGGAATAAATTATTTTCCGGGCTGAGCTATAGCAAGTCCCACTGATCATATGGATGTTCTGAGGCCATTTGTCATACTATGCATGAGTGTGGGAAAAAACTGCTTAGGCCAATTCTCCTCATGTGAATAAGCAAATGGTATTCTGAGCAGACATGTGAATGTGCTTCCCTGTAATGGTCTCAAGGCAATGCATCTCTGAATTTAAGAATGTGTATTCTACATGCATTTTTCTGCATACAGTGCGCGTCTGTGTGCGGTTCTGGATTGTGTATCTGCCTTTTGTATATTACTGCATAAGAACCTGTAATCTTTGTCCTGTCATTAACATGTAGCATGTAACAAGATTAAACAGAACAAAACAAAAGCATCCACAAAGCATCAAAGTAGATGTTTAATTAGGTACTGTAGAGGTACATATTTGTGCAATTCATATGTAATGAGTGATGGTCGTACATCGATGTGCAGACTGAGCACACAAAACTAAAATTAACCCTAACTTTGCAGGAGCACCATGATGGATCCCATTGCCCTGTTATTATGGGAGCATTAAAGCTTTATGTGGCGTCGTATTTTGACAGTGTGGGACTAAATGCATACATGGCTGCCTGAGGCTTGGGCTCCCTATGAAGCCGCTCTCCTTCGCTCTCGGCACGGTGCGCTCAGCTGTGGGACAGTAGCATAATGGGTTCGTCTTCTGTTTGTTTACCGGCTGCTGGGTGCCCTGAAGCTATTCTTAGCTGCGTTCCTACTGTTCATAGCTCATTATGAATGCCAGGCATTCGCTGTAACATCCCTGTAACATCACTGACTGACAGCCGCGATTGCTGGTAAGAAGCACAAGCGGCACATCTTAATCAGCTGCAACAATCCCTGCCACACAAACAAAGGTTTTGGTTCACATAAGAATTTAAGTTTAAGGAATCTGTAATAAGAGTAAATAATGGTGCCAGTCATCGCACAAAACAGTGGTATTTAGAGCACATGCCACCTTAAACTACAGTTTTATTGTACATGGATTATTAATTCTTGATATTCAACTGGCCCTGCTGCTTTGCATACGGTCCCAAGAGAAATGTATATTTATAAAGATAGTAAGATATTGTGCTCACATGCAAACATCCTGCTGCATTTTGGTTTTACCTTCCTTCATCCATCTTGCTTGACTATGGCCGACATCTAGGGGCATTTTCCTGTCTATCTGGTGAGCCTCACTCTAGAAAAAATGCTGAATTATTTCCCTCACAACATTGTGCCTATAGTATGCTTTCGGGCAGCAGATAAAATGGTGATTTAGGACAATTTATTGTCCCAGGAATGTCTTGTCACTGGACATTGGATCTTGATTGGGTTCGATGTAGTAAAAGTGCTATTATCCAGTTAAATTAACTGGAAGCTTTGCAGGTTTTTATGCCAATTGTATAGTATAGTAACAGCTGAATCATATATATATATATATCCATCTGTCATTTTCACATATCAGGGTGATTTCGAGCCTGGAGCTCTTGGGATGCCCAGGGAACACACACTAACTCACTATGACCGATTCACACACACCAGTCCGCTGATTTGTTGACTGTGGTAGAAAAGATGCAAACTCCATACACGCAGCCTGAGGAGGGAATGACACCCACAGCCATGGAGGTGTGAGGTCACAGTGCCGACTGGCCCGGCAGGCAGAAATTCTGTATATGCAGCTTGAATAAGTAAGCAGAGTGTGCAATGTCTCCTATGCTGTGACAAGGCAGCACTGACTGAACTGTCACAGATGGTGATCAGATATGGATGACACCGAGGAATCCGCCCACTCTTTCAGGAAGCCGCGATGGATGTGTGCTGCGGGGGGAGGGGGGCCGGGCGCTCGGTGGGACGTGATGGCCGACGTTCTTCTCTGAGCCTTGCCGAAGGCCCACACCCCCCTCGTGACCTTCTGGGGTATGGGGGTGGTAAGCAGAGTGTGCGTGGGAGCCGTTTTGTTGTGGGGGTGGGCTGTGAGCATGGCAGGAGGGGCCACGGGGGCACCCCACACTCCAGGAGCAGTTTTGATGCAGTGGGCAGTGGTGCCCCCCCCCCCATCTGTGCGCTATGTCCTCTGCTTTGCCTAGTTCTTCTGTTCTCATGTGTCCCGCCCCCCCCTGACTGTCAGGAATGTTAAAAACAGCCTTCGGTGTTTCGTCCACCTCCATGCTTTATTCATTTTTTACAGAGCAGAGGTCTTCTTCACCTTGTGTAACAACAGCATGATGAAATGCCCTAACAATGACCCCTGGCAGCCGCAATTAATGCATGACTGCCTCTAATCATACACAGCTTGAGCTGCCACCGCACTGACTGTGTCAGATTGCAGGGGGCTGATTTTTTTCTAGGCAAGGAAGGTACTAGCAGTTATATTTGTACCTTGGACACACCTTGAGCAGTACGTCTCACCATCATATGTGTGAATGGGTCAGTTTGTGCACACCATAACTTACAAGGGCATGATATTTTGATTTAATTTACAAAGGAGTTACTGGTGAATTGGTTACCCTCAAGAAACGTTGACCTGTACCTCCTATTAAACTACTAATGAATAGATTCTTTTAAAGATGTATTCAGACAGTGTTGTCATGACAATTCAAAAAGCAATAAACTGCATGTGCAACTTTTCTCCGGTTAATAAATGTAGTATTTATTTATGCAAATTTAACAGTTGAATCTGAAATTATTTCAGGCGTACTGCTATACAATAGAAAATTAATTGTTTTTTTGGGTTATACTAATATGTCCAGAAAACATTTTTATAAAAAAGTAAACTTTTTTAAGTATCAACGAAAGCGGTGTGAGGAGCGCGCACTACGTTTCCCACAATCCCCTCGGGTCTTTCGCTCACGTGTCTCTGCTTATTAGACACGTCGCTGAAGTGCTCTGAATCTGCTCAAGAGTGCAGAACTCATTCCAGCCACACTGGGAGGCAGCCCGAAAGCCTGTGTGAGAGGGACTGTTTCACAATTATTGCACGGAGGACAAGCCGGCGATGCGGGTCTTTCCAAAAGCGGGAGTTGGTATGTAAGTCCATTCTCCTTTAAAAATAGGTTTGCGATGTATTCAATTATTAAGGCAAACGTCAATAGACCTAATCTTTGATGCGCTATTAAGATGCCACTGAGGACGCGTTTACTAACCTGCTGGTACGGATGCGGAAGGCTGCGTATTTTAAGGTTTTTATGAGTTATGGGCGTGCATGACAGGTACAAAGTACAGTAGGGTTTAATATGTCACACGTGCTTTGAGTTGAGTAAGTATCTATGGGAGAGTTTTCTCCGGAGGTGTTCAATTGTGGTGTCTTACTCTCTTTAATTTTACACAACAGTATTTAAGTGTATACTTTGAATATCATTTTACGATCATCTTACACGCATTTCCAGCATTATTAATACTGGACGATTACGGAGTAATTATTTTTCCCACAGAAGCGTGCATATTTAGCAGAGAGCAGAGCTGTTTAGAATTCAGTTAATCAGATAATAAATAATGAAAGACGGGGGCAGGCATTGCGATTTAGAGGTAATCCGAGGCTTTGCGTGTATTTTTTTTAAACTGGAAACATAGGAGATTGACCAAGAGCGATGAAAATCATTATAGCGGAGAGAATATGATTTTCCTCTCACCCTGGCATGTTCATATATATTGCATATTGTACGTTTTTTTTGTTTGTTTTGTTTTTAGACGTGCTTTGATATGTGAATCCAGACTTTTTAAGTGTAGCGTAAACTAAACATGCTTGGAGTGACAGCTTAATAGTCTTAGTTTAGTGCAGTATTTTACTGTTGACAGAAGTGCTTCATGTGTTCATAGGTGAACTGGTGTCCTGAGGCGAAGGGGGGCTCTGGGGTAAGGGCAAGAAAGAAAAAAAAAATCAAATGGCAGATCTGGAGCTTCTTTATTTAGAAAAAACCTGCAGGCAACCCGATCCACCGACCAGTACTGGCTGTGCTTTAAATCAGCAGAGCATCCCCAAGCCAAGCAGCTCAGGTGGAAAGTCAGCCTGCAGGGAGGATGAGTGCAGTCTGGCCCGAGGGACAGCTGGCTGCCAATGGCAAGGCGACGCTCCCCCGAAAGGCGGCGTGGCGTGGGACGGCGACGTTGTAAAGGTGTGCTGCGACGACGAGCTGGAGACGTCCTTCGCCAGTGAAGAGCAAAACGTCGACCTGCGGCGGCCCGTGGAAGGCCCCTTTGGGCCGCTCTGTCCGAACGATGGCAGACAGGAAGTGATGGGGGACCTCTCGTCCATCTCTGACGACGAGCTGGCCTCACAGTCCTCTGAGAAATCGGTGGATTACGGCTTCATCAGCGCAGTGACCTTCCTGGTGACCGGCATCTCGCTGGTGGTCATTTCCTACGCGGTGCCCCGCGACGTCCGCGTGAGCCCCGACGCGGTTTCGGCGCGCGAGATGGAGCGGCTGGAGAAGGAGAGTGCCAGGATAGGGGCCCACCTGGACAGGTGTGTGATCGCGGGGCTCTGCCTACTTACGCTGGGCGGCGTTGTGCTCTCCATGCTGCTCATGGTCTCCATGTGGAAGGGCGAGATGTACAGGCGCAAGGCGTTCGCCTACTCGAAGCAGTCAGCCAAACTGTACGGTTCGATCAATTTCAGGACGGCATCGAGTCCGACTCGGATGTCCCCACACCTGTCTGAGGACGAGGAAGACGGATACATCCTGAACTAACACTGTGGAGCGCTGGTGCATTTTCATTGGTGATTTTAATGATGCAATTCCATTGCTGGTGTCCTGGTTTCAGTATCTGGTTGCTAGGGCAAAAAGCATAATAACTGCAGCAGAGCTTTTAATACCTTTAACTGTTACTGACCTGCGTGTAGCTGTTTTAATGAACGTTCATGTGACACATGACTGAAAGCTTTTATCTGATGACTGAAAACAAGCAGCTGAACTGCCTATTATTTAAGTTCTTATCAATAAGAAAAACTCCCCGTTAAGTTTGTTATACTCTGGAAATCAGTTTTTCTTGTTGTGGTTGTGCTTTCACTTGTTTCGCATGAAGGCAAGATAAACACGAGTGAGTGTTTCCTATGGAGAACCCTACGGATTGGAAAGCCTGGCATTTATTCAGTCCTTTTTTAAAAAAAAAATGTAACAGCAGCCAGCTTTCGGGAATTGACTTGGATGTTTACAGGAAATCATTTTGCTACTAGGCAACGTGTTGTAAACCCCACCATTGGGCTTGGTCATTATAGTGTATTTACTTTTTGTATTGATGCTCTTCAGTAAATATATGCTTGTTCTGGGTCACAACCTCTCTTCATATCTGTGGTGCTTTTATCCATCCATCCATCAATCCAACCATCCACCTACCTTCTGTCTGTCCCAGGAAGCACAGGTCACCTCCAAGGGCACATTCATGCATAGCAGGTCATTTAGAGACTCGTTAGGCTAATCGTGCATCTTTGATCTGTGGGAAGGAACTGGAGAGTCCAGCGGAAGCCGCTGTGGCATGGAGAACGCGTGTGAATGCTCAAACCTGGAGGGCTACCCTCCAAGCCACTGCACCCCCTCAGTCATCATGAGTATCATTATTAACTTTCAATGATTTTAAACAGGAGCCCACCCGCCCTCAGCTTGTGCTGAGAAGCTGTGGCTTTATCCTGTGTTGCCATACTAACGCTGCTGGGTTCTGTATTTTCTCTTTAGATGCAGACGTGTCATCACCGCTTGCGTCTCCCAGCTCTGTGGTTGACACACAGAAGGGAGCCTTGTATGCCCAGGTGCTGCAGGAGGCAGAATGAGAGTCGGGAATACAGGCTGCAGTTTGGGATTGGGAGTCAGGAATACAG